CCACTCCCCACCTTCCAAGACATGGATGAAACAAAGAACTAAATCTCATGATGGCCTTCCACACACTCACCCCATAAGATCTCACCTCCTTCGCATCCCACCTAAAAATCACCATCCCATACTTGCAAGCCACAACTCTTCTCCAAAGTTCTCTCCTTCCCAAACCTCCAAACCCATTTCCCCAACAATGCTTTGTTAAAAATCCCCACTCTCCTTACACCCAACCCCCATCTTTTTTTGGCCCTACATATCCACTCCCATTTGACCAAATGAAATTTCTTTTTTCTTTCCACTTTAACATTCCATAGAAAATCCCATTGTTGAAGTTTTTCTATTTCTTCTTTCACCGAAGCTGATGCCTTTAGGAGTGAACTTACCTTTCCATCCTGCCATAGAAAATCCCATCAGAGGGATTTCCTTTAAAAAGACAAGTACTTACCTTTCCATCCTGCCAACCTTTTTTCAATTCAATCCAAGACAGGTTGCCAAGTGGAGGAGGAAACCGCCCTAGCCCCAATAGGTAATCCAAGATAAGAGAAGGGAAACTCTCTTACTCTCCAATTAGACAACCTAACGAGCCAGAACACTCTTCCAACACTGATTGCTGAACATCACCTACTCTGATCATCACACTCTTGTTGAGATTAATCTTTAGACCTGACAACAGCTGAAATCATTTAAGAATACCCCTCAAATTGAGCACCTGTTCCACAAAAGAATCTAAAAATATCAGTGTATCATCAGCATATTGGAGATGAGAGATGACCATTCTATCTCTTCCAACTTTGAACCCATTAATCAGCACCACTTCCTATTCACCAACTTGCTCAAGATCTCGACCACTAAGACAAAAAGCATGGAAGAAAAGGGTTCCCCTTGTCTCAAACCCCTTGAAGCATTAAAAAAATGTTCAAACCCCATTTACTAAAACTGAGAAAGAGGCTGACAAAATGCAAGCAAACATCCAGCTTCTCCTGTCCTTCATTTTCCCCCCAAACCCATCCTTTTCATAACTTCTTCTAAAATACCCCACTCCACATGGTCATATGCCTTCTCTAAATCAAATTTTCAAATCACCCTATCCTCCCTACTTCTAATTCTCGCATCCACACACTTGCTATCAAGATTCCATCTAGAATTTTGCCTCCCTTAAACAAACTCCATTTGTGTAGGATCCATTACCAAATGCAGCATCGCTCAGTCTTACTGAAAGAACCTTAGCCACAATTTTATATGGACTGGACATCAAACTTATAGGCCTGAAGTCTTTCACCCTAACAGCACTGTCAACCTTCATATTTAGAGGAATGAAGGTTGCATTTGGTAGCTTCTCTATTTTCTTTTCAATCCACAACTCCCTAAACATTTCCAGCATATCTTTCTTAACTATATTCCAACACATCTTAAAGAATGCAATGTTGAACCCATCCGGCCCAGAGCCTTCTCCCCCTTCATGGTTTTTATTCTGTTCCACACCTCATCCTCCTCGAACTCCCTCTTCAACCTCCCTTTTAAACCCTCCTCAAACTGAATAAATTCTACTTTCTCCATCTAACAGTTTCTTTTAGGAAGTACTTTGTATAAATTCACATAAAATTATGAATTTCCTCTGCTATACTCTTCTGGTCATCAATAATTCTCTCCCCCTCCAATCTCAGAATAGTGTTTCTTCTTCTTCTCCCCCTCACCATAGCCTGGAAAAAAGCAGTATTTTTGTTCTCATCTTTCATCCATGATCCCTAGCCTTTTGCCTCCAAGACACCTCAAAACGAATTAACTTTTCCAGCTCCTCCGCTTCCAGCTTATCTAACTTTGTAATCTTCCCTGAAACTTCTTTCTCACCTCCACATTCCCGAACACTGATATACTCCAACCCTTGAAAGTCTTCTTTGAATTTCTGCAGCTTCATTTTTTTTCCAAATCAGCTATAATTTTGAACGTAAATTTTGATGACTATACTATAGAATTATCTTCCCTAACTATCTCTTATAGCTGGGATATCAATCACTGAAGAGTAGATAATCCTGCCTACCTTATCGCTTCAGCAAAATATTGGTTATCAATGCAATGCATCCCAAAACACAAGCTGACACCTTGGATCAGACAAATCTGCGATTTTATTCAACTAAGTTTCAGCATGTGCCTGTGATGTACAACTTGAGAAGGCATTCTAACAAAATTATTTCTGTCATTAGTAGCCTTATCAATGATTCACATCTCAGGCCTAATGCCAAATCAACTGTCCTTTGATAAGATATTGTTATTCCCAAATTATTCCATGCACTTTCCCCGCCATCAAGTCCCTCCCCCTGACATCAAATGAAGCATTGATCTTTTTTTTTTTTCTTTTGATCCCTAACAGAAAACAGGACCTCATTAAATTACACAAAAAACAGTACAACAAGAGGTTGTGATTTTACAATACTTGTAGAGAATGTGAGCATAGTCCTTGCTATTCCACCCCAATACAAGCTTTTACAATTGAGCTCAGTACAACTGATATCTAGTAACCCCTTGCTTTGCTAACCCATCAGCCAAGATGTTGGCACATCTTTGTACCCATTGTATTTTTTATTTTTATATCTTTTGATATTTATTTAAACCTTCTGATTTCATTTCTGTAACTCGATTTATCTTTACTGCTATCCATCAACCAACTTATAATTACTTTGCAGTCACCTTCAACAACCAATTTATCAGCTCCCGCTTCCTTTGCCTTTTGCACCACAAGCACTGCAGCCATAAAGCTATTCCCAGATAGAGTATCCTTGCCCTATTGGTCCTGAAGATAATGTAATTAGATTTCTGTTTTCATCTCTTATTACTCCAATTCCAGAAAGACCTGGGTTTTCCATACTACTACTACCATCAAAATTCAATTTAAACCATCCTCTAGGTGGTGTCCATTCCTTAATTACCTTAGGTTTCTTAGATGAAGAGCTTGCACCCCAATTCCTGTAGAAGTAATCCATTGAAGTCTGAGAATAGGTCCAATGTCTTTACTCGATGTGCTACCCTTACTATGATAATACTTTCAATAATAACCTCCTTGCTTTGTTCTTTGCCTTCAAATATTCTTAAATTCCTCTCCTCCCAAAGTGTCCACAACACCACCACTTTTGTACACCTCCACATAATTATACGTCTCCTCTTCTGACATCTAAAATTAGACCTGTAGAACAACCTATCCAAACTAACAAGGGGGATCCACTTGCACCCAAAACAAGCAAGGAACTAATCCCAAATACAATAAGCAAAAGGACAGGAGATTAGTAAGTGGTATGCAATCTCACCATTCAATTCACAGAAGATACACCAGCTTGGAGAGAGACACCAGTCTCACCATTTCGAAGGATTAATGCTTCTAATGAAGACTTCCCAGGAGAAGGCAGCAATTTTTAGGAGGGATAGGGGCACACTATCTCTTGAGAAATTTGATCATTCTTATAGAGAATGAACCATCATCTATTTTCCAGCTCCCAACCTCATTTGCTGATTTTCTCCACTAAGCTATCCCCACCATTTTTATATCACATACGGATATTTGATAATCACCCAAATCCACTCACTATTGATTGCAACCATGGGTTTATTATGACCTAAAAATTTTGGACCACCACCATCAAATTTGAGCCCATGTGATGTATCCCATTAAGGCTCTTAAATTGATTTCAAAATATACCCCTAATTTTATATGTATTTGCCTACCATATCTCCCTCTTGAATCACAACCCTTCATTCTCTGATTTCTACAATGTGCCTCAAGCATTTATTTTTTATCATCTCTCTTCCCAAAACACTGCTAACCACCAATCTCATTGAAAATTATGTGAACTATCCCTCTTACTATCTTTTTTGCTTTCCAAAGCTAAACTATTTGATAGATTACAACCCTTCTTCTTCTCTACTTCCATTTTTAAATTGATTACAATCCTTCCTCTTATCTACTTCTTTGCCTCTCATATCGACGCCTACCAACTATGAAAGATCACTTATACCCTTCTGTCCTTTCCATAAAGCACATCATCATCTTTTGTATCCCACCATGTTATTCCTTTCATAACATCTTCCTAACCAAATACCCTTTAACCTCCACCAGTTGGGGTACCTTATTGCAAAAATATTCTTTCCCTGCATTTATCCATCGTTTTCCACATTCATGAGACCCTCTCCCTCAATCTTCACCTTGATTTCATATGACTAACAAAAGATAAAATTGGCACTAAGAAATATTAACTTATTCAATTGGATTCCTTGAAATCTATAACTGGTCCCAAGACCTACAATTATGATTAACACAAACAAATCACCCAGAAGTAGACCTGTTCATGGGCTTGGTAGCTCTGTGGGCCTGTTCTTTGTAAGGCTTGTAGATAATTAATTTTAGGCCTACGGGCTCAGGCTCAGGCCCAAAACATTAGGCACAACTTTTTTCGGGCCGGGCTTGGGCTTTCTTGCCTGGACCAATAATATTTTATATAATAAAGGATATGTAATATCTTTTTTCCTTTATTTTGTCTTCTCTTTTCTCAAGCTGTAGTGAAATCTTTTGGTATTTTTGGTTTTTGAGGTTGTTTAATATAAAATAAATCAGTTTTGTTGTTGACTAAAAAAAATCATTTTTCCCAATTTCCAGGCTGGGCTTCGAGCTCAGGCTCGGGCTTTAGGCTTTATATGAGGGCTGGGCTCATGCTCAAGATATAGGCCTGATGTGGTCGGGCTGGGCTCGGGCTTGGGCCTGAATGCGTTCTGTTAATGAAGAGGCAAAGCCCAGCCTGGCCCAGCCGGTGAACAGGTCTACTCAGAAGTATCTCCATTTATCCAATAACTTGAAGTGTTTGAATGCCCAATGAGCAAAACAGTATCCTTGCAGTATTAACAGGAATTTTTCAAAGATAATTTACTAAAGACTTGGAGCCTCCAAGTGTCATGAAGTTCCTAGGCTTTATTTAAACAATGATGTAAAGTATAGAACTGATATTTTGTCTCTTGGTTTCTAGGTTCATAAAATTTCACAAGCTGATATAGACACAGAGATAGTTTTTAATTGTCAAATGGGACGGGGACGTACTACTACTGGGATGGTAATCGCCACTTTGGTATACCTTAACAGAATTGGAGCATCTGGTAATCTCTCTCTTCTCCACTCAATATAAACTTATAGTTTAATTTGTTGTTTTTCTCATAGGACTCCTATAAAAGGAACAATTTTAAACACAAGGTCTATTACATATTTTAGCCCTTGGCAGAAATGGTAATATATATTATTAAACCATATGAAACACTAGTCAGATTTATTCATTGTTCTAAAAATTGTGATAACAACCCAATGGTTTAATTGAACTGCATCAAGTATGTTGTCATTTTATGCAGACTACAAAAGCAAAGCCCTCAGATAGGAGGGCTTCTTCAACCACATGTCTAGGCCTCTACCTGGGTTGGGTTGGATGCATGTTGATCTCTAACCCATCCCCCAACCACCCACATACATCAATAATTCATATTTCTAACATGTACATGGATTGCAACCCAACCTAACAGCCTCATTTTGACCCACTTAAATACTTAAACCTATGTAAATATTTGAGAAATAGTTCCTTGGTTTTTTCATAGTGCCTCATTATTGGGTTGGTTCAACCAGATATACAAAATGAAACCTGGTTTAAACAATTTTGGAGGAGAGAGAGAGAGAGAGAGGGGGGGGGGAGAGAGGTAAATCATAGGAAGGTAGAGAAGAGAGAATGGGAGGAGAGAAATGTGAGAGTGAAGATGAAGAGAAAGGAAAGAAAGAGAAGTATGTGAACCGTGAGGGGGAGAGAGAGAGAGAGATGTTATTGACTCAAATGTGTACACATAACCCAACCTCCCTATCTAACCTAATCCTCTTAAGTCCATCCAATTGATTATTCAGCCCATTTATGACCTACTAAGGTAGAGTTCGGTTCATGGTTCCAAAAAGGGGTGGGTTGGATGAGTGGAGTGGGTTGGTTCGGAAATTGTTACCTCTATTGGGGTCATTAGCAGATATTATATTTGAAATTAACATATTTTTTAGCATATTTGGTTCAAGTATTATATTTTTCCTAATGGTTCCGAGGCTCTGGTCTCATTGAAGATTTGAAGTCGTTTTTTTATCAGTAAGAGAGATTTTATTAATATCAATATCAAGTATTACAAAGGTGGAAGTTCCACCCTAGAGACACTCTATAGAAATTATAATTTTTCCCAAAATATTTGGTGTCTCGTTGTCCCTTGTTTGGCCAGTACATCTTCCATCCCATTTGCTGATCTTCTCACCCAATTGAAGACAACATTCAGCTCCCGTGATATGCTTACTATTTCCCGTAAGTATGTCTATAAGACTTGGGAGCTACCTCTTGTCCTGGAAATGACCACCAGTGAGTCCACTTCCACCTCCAAGTTGTGGAAACCAAATTGCATTGCAAATTTTAGCCCATGGAGTAATCCAAACAACTCTGCTTTCAATGCATTACCATCTGTTAATGACCCTGAGTACAAAGCTAGTATCTTTCCTTCAGAGTCCCTGAAAACCCCTCCCATCCCTGCCACAACCTGACTGCCAATGTAACTCTCATCAAAATTGAGTTTGACAAAGTTGATTGTTGGTGGCCTCCACTCCATATTTACTCTTTCCTTGGCTTGGGCCAAAGAAGTCACTTCCTTCCAGATTCTCAATATGTCATTTGTTGAGAAACCATGGAAATCCTCCATGGTTTTCACCCAGTGTGCAACTTTAAATTTTACCATCTCCACGACTTCCATTTCTGATCTATTTTTTTCATTAAAGATCCTCCCATTCCTTTCTTCCCGAATTGTCCATACCATGGCGGTTCTCACTGCTTTCCATTTCTGATCTATTTTTTTTCATTAAGGATCCTCCCATTCCTTTCGGTTGTCTCAAGAAATTTGGATCAAAGAGACCCACCACGTCCTCCACCTGCACCCAAAGAGAGAGCAAAGCTGCTCCCAAATACAAAGTACAAAAGGATAGGATAAAAAATATATGGGAAATGGTTTCACCATTGCACTTACACAGAAAGCACATGTGAGGAGAAAGGCAAGTGTTTGGCCTTCTTTTCTGCAGCATATCACAAGTGTTAATCTTTCCAGGGAAGACTTCTCAACAAAGTGCCTGGATTTTAGGAGGGATTGACTTGCTCCAAATTTCTTTCACCGGGAAATTTACCCCTGAGGTTGTAGTCTGAACTAAGTTGAAAAAAGAAGCACAAGTGAGAGTACCATCTGAAGTGATAGACCAAACCCTGTTGTCCTCTACATTTTGATCCAAGAAAGTAGAGTCAAGAATGGAAAACATGGGAACAAGAGAATTGCATTCTGTTTCCCTCATGTCCCTTCTAAAACCAAAATCCCAATTAAAGCCTGAAGCAGAGATGGGTTCAAATTTGTATCTCGATAGTGCATAAAGCATAGGGAGTTGGACCTTTAGTGGTTTCACACCTATCCAAAGGTCCTTCCTAAACAAGACTCTCAACCCGTTTCCCACATCATATTGGATGAGATTCACAGAGGAAGGATAAATCTCAAAAATTTCTTTCTAGGGAGAACAAGAAGTGGCATTGGAAGCTACCTTTGCATCCCAGTCATTGTCCATCCGACATTGTATGCTTGCAATCACCTTGTGCCAAAGCCTATCATTTTCCAAAGGGGACCTCCACAGCCATTTCACTAAGAGAGCTATATTCTTTTGGGTTAAGTTTTCTATTCCCAACCCGCCCCTTTCTTTGTGTTTACTAACCTGTTCCCATTTCACCAAGTGGTCTTTCTTTCCCTCCTTTGCATCCTATAAGAAATCCCTCATTACCTTTTCTAGTTGCCTAGTAATTTTTGTAGGGATATGGAAAGTGGACAAAAAGTAAATGGAAAGATTAACTAAGGTGGCTTCAATCAAGGTTATCTTTCCACCAAAAGAAATGTAGCTTCTTTTCCAAAGAGCCAATTTTTTAGTAAACCTCTCTGGCACAGGCTTCCCAAAGCTTTGAGATCTAGGATTTCCTCCCAAGGGTAGACCAAGGTACACCAAAGGCCAATTTTTGACTTAACACCGTAAGAACTCTGCTATTATAAGGGCTTCCTCCTCTTGTAAATGCAGTCCCACTAGACAACTTTTCCCTAAGTTGATCCTTAACTTAGAGAGATTCACAAAAGAGATGACAAGGGTTTTTAGGTTTCTGAGGGATTCAAGGCTGAAATCATCCATCACAAAACAAGATAATATCTTCTGCAAATTGCAAGTGGGTAGCTACCATCTCAGCCCTTCCCACTCTCCAGCCTCTAATTAGGTTATCCAAGTCCACTTTTATGATCATTCTACTTAGGACTTCAGCAATCGAGGTAAAGAGAAAAGGTGATAAGGAGTCACCCTGGCTCAACCCTCTTTTGGCTGTGAAGAAGTCTCTGAAGACCCATTAATCAAAATAGAATAATGCACTATGCTTAAACAACTCCTGATCCAAGATCTCCATTTCTCCCTGAAACCAATTCTCTCCATAATCTCTAGAAGGAAAGACCAATCCACCAAGTTATAAGCCTTTTCTAAGTCCAACTTGCAAATAAACCCTTTTCCCTTTTTGTCTTTCTCTGCTACGCATTTGTTAACCACTAGAATCTGGTCCACAATTTGTCTCCCTTCCACAAAGGCACCTTGGTTTTGTGAGATAACTAATAGTAAAACCTTCTTTAACCTTCCTGAAATAACCTTTGCTATTATTTTGTAAAGGCTGCCCACCAAGCTAATTGGCCTTATCCTTTGGTGTTTTTGCTTCCTTTTTCTTGGGCATTAGAGCAACAAAGGTAGAGTTAGCCCCTGGAGAAATTTCCCCTTTTTGGTGAAACTCATCAAACACCTCTTTTTAATCCTTTTCCAAAAAATCCCAGCAGTCTTGGAAAAAGCCATAGCGAACCCATCTGGCCCTGGTGCTTTTGATCTTTCCATGGAAAACACGGCCTCTCTAATTTCCTCCGTGGTGAAAGCACTCTCCAAAGCCCTTGACTGACTCTTTGTCACCCTATCCCAATTCAATTCATGGAGATCTTGTTTGTATCCCTCTACTCTACAAAAGATGCTCTTAAAGTGGTCCACTAACACCTTAACAATCTCTTCTTCTCTTCTAACCTCAATACCATCCACTTCCACCCTTGTTATAAAATTTTTCTTTTGCCTCCCATTTGCTAAAGAGTGGAAAAACCTTGTATTTCCATCCCCCTCCTGAAGCTACTTACACCTTGACTTGTGTCTCCAAGCTATTTCTTCCTTTCTTAACACATCTTCCAATTTCAATTTCAGATTCCAGCGCTCTTCTCTTTCCTCCTCACTCAAAACTCTCCCAGCTTCTTTTCTGTCCAGTTCCTCTATCCTAGAGGAGATTCTTACTTGAGATTCCTCAACTCTACCAAACTGGTCTTTATTCCATTCTTTCAGTTTCCTCTTTAAGGATTTCAACCTCCTCATAAAACTTACGTTTTTTAAACCACTTCTCGGCTGCTGCTCCAACCACAAAGATTTAACTTTTTCCTTGAACCGAGGGACTTCCAACCACATATTCATTTCACTAATGATATACAAATTACAATATCAACCATTCATTATTGTTTTATTAGAGTATAATAATATAACATAATATAATAATCAACTCATGTGTAGTTTGTTTTTTTAATGACATATACAGCCGAATATGATTCCATGACCACCTTAATAAGGATCCTCTACCTGAAAGATCTCCTAGAAAAGTCTGTCAACACCATTGATCTCTTACTGGACCTGTACTTCACATTTTTTTAGATCCAGCTGGTGAATTTTGCTTGCCATGGTTCCATTGGGTCTAAATTTTCCTATTTTGTTCATGATTTGTGGAATACAGGTATTCCAAGGACAAATTCTATAGGAAAAGTCTCTGATGCTGGATCTGACATCACTGATAATTTTCCAAACTCAGAGGAGGCTATCCGCAGAGGAGAATATGCAGTGATAAGAAGCCTGATTCGGGTCTTAGAGGTATTCGAAATCCACTATCTCTTATTGCCACATTTTTCCTTTTTCCCGTTGTAGGATCTACTCATCAGAGATATTTCAGGGTGGTGTTGAAGGCAAAAGGCAAGTGGATAAAGTAATTGACAAATGTGCCTCTATGCAGGTACAGCTCTGTTAAGTGTTTGTGTTTTCATCAGGGTTTATATGAAATTGTGAAAATTCTATTCTCCATCTGTTGCATGGTTCTCCAACTGAGCACTTATATTGTGTTTTCACTCAAGGGAATAAGCTGACTCTGAAAATCAGTTGTTTTAAAGTGTTCTCTTGTGGTTTGTGTGACAGAATCTTCGAGAAGCAATTGCTACTTACCGCAGTAGTATTTTGCGCCAACCAGATGAGATGAAGAGGGAGGCATCACTTTCTTTTTTTGTGGAGTATTTGGAACGATATTACTTTCTTATCTGTTTTGCTGTATATATTCACACAGAGAGAGCAGCTCTCCATCCTAGTTCATCTTGTCAAAGCAGTTTCTCTGATTGGATGAGAGCAAGGCCAGAACTCTATAGCATACTCCGCAGGTGAATGATCAAATAGTCATGCTGGTAAATCCCTAGAGGCAATTTTATCTTTCAAGCAAGTTGGGTATGACAGCTGACTCTTCCTAGTCTGGGTGGTACCATAGTAAAAAACGAGTGCTTCATAAATACAATATGGGAAACATTCTTATACAATTTGGAACCAAGAACAAAGAATACAGTCAAAAAGTTCGGCAAATAAATATAATAATGTAAATGGTTGGCCAAATACACATTCATGTTTAGTACGTTCTCATTTAAAATGTTCAAAGTAAAAATATTTATCAGATTTTATATGTAATTATGTATAATAATTTTTTGCAAATATCGATGTATAAGATGTAGAGGCAGTATGATCTATATGTATAAGGGCAGTCTGTCCCAACTTTGGTTCAATTATCCATAACAAGGGAGAGGTTGAGGAGAATGTCACCCATAAAATTAGAGTAGGATGGGCTCAATGGAGGGTGTATCTAGATTCTTATGTGTAAGGCAAATACCACTCAGGTTAGAAGAAAATTCTATAAAACAGATGTAAGACCAGCAATGTTGTATGGAGCTAGTGTTGGGCAGTTAAGAAACATGTTCAAAAAATGAGTGTGGCAGAAATGCTTAAGCTGATATGGATGAGGGGAAAAACTAGAAAGGATAAGGTTAGAAATGAAGTCATTTAAAAGAACCTAGGAGTAGCTCCAATTGGTAAGATGGTTTGGAGTCTTTGGACATGTGCATAAAAGACCACCTACAACAACTATAAAAAGAAGTGATCTCTTGCAAGTTGAAGGGGCTAGAAGGGCTAGAGACAGACCAAAAAGGACATGGATCGAAGTAGTTATAAATGATTCAAGTGCTCATAATTTAACAATACATTTTGGCACTAAACAGAATGGAATGGTGAAACAGGATTCATGTAGCTGGCTCCATATAATTGGGATGAGGCTAAATTTTCTTCCCTTGTTCGCTCTCTTTTTTCTTCGGCTATCTCTCTGTTTCTTCTCTTTCTGATTTCTGACAGAAACATGATGTCAGAGTTCTATAACTGCAATAAATCAAGTCTATCCTTCTCTCCATACACTCTTTTCTTCCTTTTTCTTTGATTTGATTCCAATAGATCAAAGATGTCCCTCTTCCATTCGAGCACAACAGTTGCCCTTTTTATTCTTTTTTCTTAGCCTTAGGACCAAGGATTCATTCCTTGTGATTTGGATTATTTTTTTCTTAGCCTTAGGACCAAAGATGCCCCTCTTCCTTTTTTCTTTGCCTTCCATGGAGGTATAGGGGTCCTGGCTGTTCTGATCTGATTTGGATATTTTTTGGGGAATTCTGTGGAGTGCTCTCATTCTGGTTTGGATAAAGAACTGAGTATTGAATAATTGGAGCTATAGAATGCCTGTTGGAGGACTTACTGTTCAGATCATTTACATAATGATTTGGATGTACACCAGTCCAGATCTATGTGAGAAGATGGTCTCCACTCTCCACTGCAATAATCTGAGTTCATATTGTTGAGAATCTGTAATGAAAAATATTTTGTAGCATGCCAAGTGTTTTTCAGTCTTTTCCTCTATTTTGTATTTGGGCGCCCATGGGCAAGCTTGTATTTTTCTCCTCTTAAGTATAAATACTATATTTTTTATGTGAATAGTAAAAAGATACACCATTCGTAACATGGCTCTCTCTCTTTTCTTCTTTTTTATTTACCTCCTCTCTCTTGTCTTTCTTGTTCTTCCCCCCTTTCCTCTTCCAATCAACAACTTGATATCAAAACACCTTCTAGATTCATGGGAAGACTTCTGCTGGTGTTCTTCATCCTAGAGGCAACCTTCTAATGTCAAACCACCGTCAGATGATGTCAGCAGTTTGTACAAGTGGTGTAAACATCCTTGAATCTGGTACAGTTCAAATCACCTTGATTTTAGGGATTTTTTATATGAGTTTCATAGCCATTCAAAGCTTCTATGAATTGTTTGAATGTAGGTTATTTCAAGGCTAGTAGGGGTCTAAGACAAGGGGAAATTACCTTTCAGCAAATATGATAAAATGGTTAAGAGACAAAGAGGGGGGTCCTTGGAGATTGAATCATTATCTGACAGAGGCTTGGAATTCTTTGAATTGTTTGAATATTAACTTAGTATGGATTCTTAGGGAACACAATCATACTGCAGATGGCCTAGCTAAATTTGGTGTGTACTTGGAGCATTTGTATAGCGACAAGCTTCCTCCTTTGTAACTTGTAGGGGTTCTTCCCCTGCTTTGTATATCTCCCCATGTTCCCTCTCTTTTTCTTAATGAAATCTGGTTAAATTTCCTCAAAAAAAAAATACAGGAAATATGTTGAATGAAAAGAACAAGGTTTTGGATTTCTTGGCGGCAATGTTTTAAAACGCGGAAGTGAAACGTGAGGCGTTCCACTACCTAGAGACGTGAGGCATAGTGCAGAACACAAGAGGCGTAAGCCTCCTTAAGAGGGGGGGGGTTATGAGGAGAAAGGGGATGAGGATGAAGAGGAAGGGGGGATCTCATTTTTTCTTTATTTTTAATAAAAATCTTTTATATTAAGAAGAATAAAGATGCATAACATTAGTTGAAAGGGGGGTCTTTCCCCTGATCTTTTCCTCCCTTCCCTTTCCTTTTCCTTTCTTTCCTTTTCTCTTTTTTTCTGCTTTCTTTTTCTTTCCCTTCCCTTTTCATTTCCTTTCCTTTCCTTTCCTTTTTTTTCTTTTTTCTGTCTTTTTAAATAAGATGTGCATGAGGTGCATGAGGCATACACCTCATGAAAAAAGTGCAAGAGGAGTACGCCTCTTGCACCTGAGGCATATGCCTCAGAGGTGTCAACGCCTCTGACATACACCTCAGGGTGTTTTGGGAGTGCCTCGCCTGGAGGCACGCCTCCAGGCGTATGCCTCCCACGCCTTTTAAAACACTGCTTGGTGGTTTGAATCCTGAGTTTGTCTTTACTCAATATCATATCCCAAGTACAGAGATTGTTTCTCTTGCAACCACCTACTCCCTAGTACAGGGTGAGGAGAGTAGGAAAGCTGCCATGTTGCCATCTCCCGTGGTTGACACTTTGCTTTCATGTCCTCAAGGCCCAAGTAGGGTAATATTAAACCTACAATCACTGGGAAGGCTAATGATGTAATTTGTGAAACCTGAAAGGTTTAAGACAATAAGGGTAGTGCTCATTTGGTTGTGGTTGGCAATGATGTTCAATCATCTGCTCCTCTAGCTTCATCTAGTTATAGTATTCCTTCTAGTGCATATGCTAAGATGGGTGCTGCACTAGCTTGCTTCTCAACTAACAGCCCTTGGATTGTTGATTCTGGGACCAATGCCCACATGACTGGTATGCTTTCATTTTTTTAATTAATACAAATTAACCCCTAGGAAGGGTAAAGTTACTATTGCTAATGGATCCCAAACACTTGTCTTTGGTCTAGGTGAACTTAAGCTTGCCCACGACCTTTCCATGAAATCTTTAAGAGTGGAGTTAGCCTCCCTAATAGTCAAGGAAAGGTCTACTGTCTAAAGAAGTCCCTAAATGAACTCAATCTCTTAGAGCTTGGTTTGACTTGTTCAGAAAGGCAATCCTGAAGATTAGGTTCTCTTAATCTTAGGCTGATCATACTTTGTTTTTAAAAAGGCATGATGGCCAGGTATCTGTGTTGATAATATATGTTGATGATATTATTGTAACCAGGGATGATATCTTTGGAATCTCTCAGTTGAAATCCTTCCTTACCTCTGAACTTGAGATCAAGGACCTTGGTATCATAAATATTTTTTGGAATTGAATGCAAGATTGAATAAAGGGGATTAACTTTCATTGATGACTGCACTCAGTTTACTTGAATTCATTTTCTCCACAAGAAATCAGAAGTTTATCATGTATGCAAACAATTTCAGGCTTATGTCGCTAACTAGTTTGAAGCCAAGATATGTGTACTATGGTCCGATTCAAGGGGAGAGTACCTTGACAGTGATTTTCAAACCTACATGAAACAAATTGGAATCCAATCCAAAAATTCCATCCTGGTACCCCTCAACAAAATGGGGTAATAGAAAGAAAGAATAGACATATTTTGAGTGCAATTAGAACCCTCTTGCAAGATTTCCATGTATCTCATAAGCCTTCTTCCATCTGTCCTAAACAGCACTTCTCCTTTTCAGTCCCTCTTTCACAAATCTCCAGAACTATCTATTCTCAGAGTTTTTGGTTGTCTATTTTGTTCTTCTTCTACCCCATGAACACTCAAAGCTAATTGCACAAGCAGCTTTGTGTGCCGCTGCATTCGGATTTCTCATAATGTAATTTTTCTTGAGAATTTGTCTTTCCTTCAACATATTGTTGTTAAATTCCCTGCTCCATCTACCTCTTTATTGCACAGATTTGATTTTATAGATACTCCAAGTGCACAGACATCACCTCTGCAACAACTTCAAACTTACTTCAGGAGGCAATGGTCTACATCACTCCATCTGTTCCTATAAGTTCATCTGATCCTCCACTTGAACCCACTACACCCACTTTGCGTTGTTCCTCTAGAATTTCTCGTCTACCTAACTACTATGGTTTCTCACCAGACCATAGCTCCTTTTTTGTTGTTTTATCCACCAGACATTCCCAAATCTTACCAGCAGGCTGTAGCAATTTCACATTGGAAATATGTCATGGACTCTGGGATCTAAGCCCTTCTTGAGAATGACACCTTGGACCTGGTTAAAGCTCCACCTGAAGCCTCTCTCATTAGGAGTCGCTTGGTTTACTCTGTGAATTTGAAGTCTGATGGGTGCCTAGATAGGTACAAGGTTATAAACATGAGTACGGGATAGACTATGAGGAGACTTTTGCTTCTGTAGTAGAAATGACCACCGCACAACTCCTACTAGCTATATCTCCAACAAAACATTGGAAAATTCATCAGATGGACATAAAGAATGCATTCCTACACGGGGAATTGAAGGAGACCGTGTACATGAAGCCTCCTCCTGGATATTGCACA